GTCCTAGGACTAGCACAGCACAGTCCCAGACTGAGCTGCAAACATGAGATCTGGTGGACCAGATAACCCACATGATAATTATCCCTTTCTATTAAGAAAGGGAGATTCAGTCTTCCATGGTAAACATGTGGGGAGATATATATATATATATATATATATATATATATATATATATATATATATATATAACTGCAAGAGCATGTCCTGGGACTAAATGTGTAGTGCTGCTCTGTTATTCCATTTAGTCCCAGGACATGCTCTTGCAGTTATATATAGAGCAGCACTACACAGAGACCGTCTTTTGTGCTTCAAGTACAGCGGTAAAACCTCCACTGTGTGAAGGAGACAGTCACACAGTATGAGTGCTCAGGGAACCTGGATATATGTACCCCAAAGCAGCAAACCAATCGTTGGAAATTTTTACACGGGGGAGAGGAATTAATGGAGAAATGATCATTTGAATGTAAAACATAAGTGTAAACAGGGCAATTGAAGTGACCCCTAAAGAACATCATTGTTCATGGAAAGGTAAGATGGAAAATGTGGTCTGAGAATCATCTGCACACACCTGGCAGCTGAAGCTACTTGAGAGCATAATTCAGTAAGGACGGGTTGGAGAAGAGGGTAAGCCAAGGGTCAGGGAGAGACTTTGAGCTGTGGGTGGAGGAAAGGCAAAGTTCTAAGAAAGAGAACAGGTGGAATGGGGCAGTAAAGGATTCAAGACAAGTCAAAGCAAAAACAAAAACAAAAACAAAAACAAAAAAAAACATCAAGGCAGGCAATGGGAATGTGGACAGATCAAAATGGATGAATTCTCTAGAGATCAACATGTCTGTATTCTTACTAACCACCACCTGCAAGGGTGGACCTGAATGATCCAATATGGCAGCCACCAGCCACAAGGCTACTGAGCACTTGTAGTGAATACAAGCCAAGATGTGCTGCAAGTCCAAAATGCTCACTGGATTTCAAGGACTTCAGGGGAATTTTTTTAATCTCATTTTTATATGTTGAAATGATGAGTCAAAATATCATTAAAGTGGATTTCAAACTTTGGCTTTAGTCTTTTTGATGTGTTTACTGAAATTTTTCTGCTATTTCATGTTTATTTATTTATTGTGGTGCTGGGGATTGAACCTAGGGCTTTGTGCATGCTAGGGAAGTGCCACACCACTGAGCTACATCACCAGCCCTATTGGACATTTATATTTTCTATTATTATTATTATTATTAGTCATTGAAGTGCTGAGAATGGCACCTGGGGCCTCATGCATGCTAGGCAAGCACTGTACTACTGAGCAACACCCAAGCCCTTTTAAAATTACTTATGTGCCTCACATTATATTTCTGTTGGACAGCATTTCTCTAAATGGATTATAGACCTCACTATGAAAGGTAAAAAAAATTAAAACACTATTAATAGAAGAAAATGCAGAATATCTTTGTGATTTGGGGGTAGAAAAGACATGAAACTTCAAAAACAAATTTTTTAAGATAAAAATTGATTTCATAAAAAATAATTTCTGACCGATGAAGGACACTGTGGCCAAAGTTAACACGGTGAAATGAGAAGATTTTTTAAACCAATGCAGAGCAACATCCAGAAATATGCAAGAAAATCCTACACATCAACAACAAAAAAGAGACTGCAATCTGAGACACTGACAAAAGACACAGAAAATTCATGAGAGTAAACACAATAAACTTAAGAAGAAATTCTTAAAATCATTAGTAACCAGACAAATGCTAATCAAAACAACAAAGAACTATGGCTACTGAGCACTTGTAATGAATACAAGCCAAGATGTGCTGCGAGTCCAAAATCCTGGCAAAAATTAGGAACCCAGATAATGTCAAACATTATGGCAGAAACAGAAATAACAGGGCCCCTTGTGCCCTGCTGGAGGAAGGGTATACCAGCACAGCTTTTCCAGAGAACAACTTGGCACTACATAGACAAGCTAGTTTTCTGTATGCTCACCAAGCATTGCAGCAATATCCCCCCACACACTACCATGAGAATTAGGGCACACACATAAGAATGTTAATTAAAACCTTGTTCATAATGATGGGGAGCAGAGGCAGTATTCTATATCCAGAGATGGTAGATAAAATGTGTGGCTGCACAGCATGGAGTATTACTTAGGAGTTAGATATCACATAGTATAGACTGCTTAATGGAGAAAAGTAAGAAACAGTGAGCTATACACACATAATTTACATAATTTATGCAAATATACAATGGGTGAACTTTGCTTAGGTCCATATTAGAAGAGGCCAACTGTGAAAAGACATTTGTTAACAATCTAGGCAAAACTTGAATACAAATATAATTAACACAGCATATGGGCTCAGTAGGTAGTGTGCTTGCCTAGAGTATATAAGCCCTGGCTTGATCCCCAGCATCAAAAAAAGTGCTGATGTTCTAAATTAGAAGCAGATAATGAGGTGCTTATGGGGAAATTAGCATTATATCTTGGTATTTGTTTCAAAATACTCCAGGGGAGGGGAATAAAAGGAAAGGCTGCTTGAAATAAGATCAGCAAAATGTTGATAATGCCAAAGCTGGATAGAGTGTCCAGAGGAGTTCATTAACCTATTATCTCTACATTTGCACTTTTTTGACAATTTCTTCAACAAAAAGTTTTTGAAAAATAAAAAAAAATCATGAATGAAAAATGTCTTCCAAGAGCACAAAGTAATATACATTAAACTGATTAGAATTGTTGCCTATGGAGGAATGAGAATGGAGATAAAAGGGAATAAATTTAAAAATGGGGGGAAGGTAAGGGAAGGAGATGGAATGGTACAGTCAGCTAAGAGAATAAACAGTGTTAAGAACACAGAGGAGACTGGGCATGGTGGTGTGCACATGTAATCCCAGATACTCTGGAGGCTGAGGCAGGAGGATTGCAAATTTGAGACCAGCTTCAGCAATTCAGCAAGACTCTGTTTCAAAATAAAATCTTAGAAAGGGCTAGAGATATGGCTCAGTGGTAGACCCTTTTCCTAGCATGTGTGATGGTCTAGTTTCAATTCCCATGTGATAGTCAATTCTTCCTCACTGGGACCAAAATACCTGACAAGAACAATTTAGAGGAAGAAAAGTTTATTTTGGCTCATAGTTTCAGAGGTCTTAGTCTTAGGTAAGCTGACTCCACCACTGTGGCCCTGAGGTGAGGCATTGTGGCAGAAGGGTATGTGGAAGGAAAGCCACTTACCTCATAGTAGCCAGGAAGCAGCAAGAAAGAGACAGAAGCCAAGGGGACAAGATGATTACATTTTGAGACCTACTTCCTCCAATCACACCCTCCCTGCTTATAGTTATCACACAGCACAGTAGTAATATTTTCATTATTAATCCATCAAATGAACTAATCGACTGCTTAGGTTACAGCTCTCAAAATCTAATCATTTCACTCTGAACATTGCTACATTGTCTCCTGAGCTTTTGGGGGACGCCTCATAGTCAAATCACAGCACTCAGTACCAAAACACACACATACAAACACCATACAAGGAAAGGGATGGTGAGTGAAATGAACGTTTTAGAAGGATGAAAGTTACTAAGGAAATATTAGCTTCAGAAACCTCAGAAAATTGGAGAATTGGAGAGAACAGAATCCAAAGACACTATATGAAGTTTCAGACTATCTCGAGAAGTCTCTTCTGGAGCATCAGTGGAAAAGGAGAAGGGAAGGAGGCAGGTAAATAGAATTCACCTGAAATAGCTTTTGCTAATATGGAAGATAATAATAATAGTAATTATTATTATTATTAGTCTAATAATTATAATTATAATAATTATTATTAGATTAATGAAAGCTGTTTCAGAAATGGTGAAGGAAGCTTCTAGGGATGTCCAAAAGTAAAAAGTCTGAATACAGAGAGAAACTGGAAATGTCCAGAGAAAAGGGAAAGAGACAGGAGAGGTAAATAGAATTAGCTGGGAGCCAAGTACCAGTATGGGTTATTAAAATTGTAAAGACAGTGCATCTTCGGAAATGGCTGGGAAACAAAAAGAATTCAGTGAAGCAAACATAATCAAGTAGTTGGGTGGAGGAGGGCAACTGAGAGAATTTGTGCCTTGAAAGTATCAGAGAAGCTGTTACGGAGACTCCACAGTGAAAAATGGTGATTGACAACCACCCGGCACCTCTACTCTTGAGATAAATTCAACCCATCAATCTCCATAAATGTCTCTGCTTTGTTGGAGGATGACAGCGAACCCACCTAATAGCTTCCCTTTTGCCACCAGGAGGTGCCCTTAGACCGCAGCTGAATTTTGAATGCCAGAAAGTCAGTCGGGAGACTCACAGTTACCTTCCTCCAGTATCTCGGTGAGGACTTGGAGACCTGTCCCACCCTAAAGCAAGGAATCTGTCTCGTTCTCTGTACCAAGTATTCTTTTGGCGTGTCCACCACCAACGACACACATTTTGAGCTTATACTCTGGCCAGAGAGAGAAAACCAGCCACGTATATAGATGAATAAATTGTAGTTTGGGTAGATATACCTCCTAGTCCTCTCCCAGCTCTATCGCAGATCATCTTTCTGTTCCTTGGTTCTGTTTTCTCACTAATGAATAACTCGTTTGCAATAAAAAAATTAATTCTTTAAAGCGCTACAAAAAAATAAAAGTCAAGGTTTGCTGTGTTTCTGAAATGTTGCCCCCAGCTGCCATAAAAACGGACCAGCCCACTAAGTAACCCCCTTCCAGAGGACCCGGTGAGATAACCCTTTGTCATCAGCAACCCCTCTGCAAGGGCCCAATAGCGCGACCCATTGTGACGGCTAGCGACTCCCCCGAGCTTCTGAGTTTACCCACACAGTGGTTGCGTCCCGAGCCCTTCTGACGCGGAGCTGCGACCCCCTCCCAGGGCGGTGATTGGCTAGCCGGGGCTGGGGACTGACTGACCTCGGACCCGCAGCGCCGTCCCCTGCTGGCCCCGCCCCCGAGCCGGGCGACCATTTGTGTGCGGCCGCGGGATTGGTCGCCCGGCTCCCGCGAGGGGGAGGGGAGGAGGCCGCGCGCACCCGCGCGTGCGTGAGCTGGCGCGCGAGAAAGGGCCCGGTCGCGCCGAGGCTCGAGCGGCCGTCGCCATTTTGTCGGGTTCTCTCTGACGCGGGAGCCGCCGCCACCGCCGCCGCCACCGGGAGGTACGAGGGGGTCGTGTGGGTGTGCGGGGAGCCGGGGGCGGGCGGGCCGGGCCCCTTGCGGACGGGCTTTGGGCTCCTGGTGGCGCTGTGGGCAGCCCCGGTAAGACAACGAGGGGAGGCGGGGCTGGACGGAGGGGGCGGGGCCGGGGTCGGGCCGAGTCTTTGTTGGGTGAGGAAGGCGGAGGTCGGGCCGCTGCCGGGGTCCTGGTTTGGCCCCGAGCGGGCCTTTTATCTTAGAGCGTGTGGGAAGGCGATATCGTGCAGTGCAGAGGTACACAGATTTCCCTCCAAAACTGTGTCACCCGGGTCACTCGGGTGCCTCTTGCCCTACGCTTGCTTTTTCCTCGCTGTTTAGACATGCAGCTCCAACCCGCTGCTTTAAGTACGCCTCCTCTCCGGGAGATGCACTGTGTTGTGCATGCTGACCTCCGACCTCCTATTTGCTTGTTACTCGTACCTCGCAATGCTCATTGTCAAACCTTCCCGCCTCCCTCGAGGAAGAATAATGAACTTCTCTGGGAGGGTCTTGAAGGTGCCTAGAACTTTGGAGGATTAAACAGAAATGTTGCGGTGCACTTTAATTTCCCACCCATCTGACTTTTGAAATCTTGTTTCTTCTCTTCCAGGCTCTTGTCAGGATGGTGAAGCTGTTCATTGGAAACCTGCCCCGGGAGGCCACAGAGCAAGAGATCCGCTCACTCTTCGAGCAATATGGGAAGGTGCTGGAATGTGACATCATCAAGAACTACGGCTTTGTGCACATAGAGGACAAGACGGCGGCCGAGGATGCCATACGCAACCTACACCACTACAAGCTGCATGGGGTGAACATCAATGTGGAAGCCAGCAAAAACAAGAGCAAAGCTTCAACCAAGTTACATGTGGGCAACATCAGTCCCACTTGTACCAACCAAGAGCTTCGGGCCAAGTTTGAGGAGTATGGCCCAGTTATCGAATGTGACATCGTGAAAGATTATGCCTTTGTACACATGGAGCGGGCAGAGGATGCAGTCGAAGCCATCAGGGGCCTTGACAACACAGAGTTTCAAGGTGAACTGCTTTGGGGCCTGGGTGGCAGAGCTGAGTGGGGTCTAGCTCAAGACAGGTGCAAGAACAAGACCATGGGGCTGGCAGGATCTTTTAACTGGAAATAATAGATTATGTCTACTGCTCTTAAGCATAACTTACTCTTGGGGAAGCAGAACACTTCCCTTGTTCATGTTTGCTGAGATGTTCCTCAACAGTTATGTAGGACCACAAAGTGTGGGTCACTTTATTCTGTGGTCTTCATTAATTCAAATGCTGATGAAACTGTTTGCTGGGGAGAGGGGAGGATAAAGGTCTGTGACTTATCTACTTCTTTTGTTATGCCTAAGAAGCCTTTGGTTTGAGGGTTTAAATGCTTAGGGTTTATATTCCACTGCCTTGGGTGAGGGGTAGTGATGAGGAAAAGGTATTTAGAGGAAGCCCTATATTATAAATCTGAGTGGTGAGTCTGGATTTGGGGAAGTGTCTTTTTGGGTGAATTTGTTAAGTCTTTGGACTATACAAGCACAACCAAGAAAAAAGTAAATTTTTCTAAAAATTCAAGGTTAAATGGAAATGATAGTCTTACTTCTATGATAAAATTTCAGTTAAGCATCATAGAGTGTATCATTGTTTATATTGATAATAAAGTTATATTTGTTGTCATTAATACCACAAGAGGATATCTGAAAACTCTAGAACTGTGCTAATATGGTAGCCTCTAGCCACATGTGGCTGGTAAGTTTAAATTAATTGAAATTTAATAAAATAAAAAGTTCACTTTTTCAGTTGTCCTGGACACATTTCAAACAATAGTCATATGAGGGTAATGGCTACTGAATTAGCACATGTATAGAATATTTTCACTATCACAGATAGTTCTGTTGAATAGCATTGTACAGCAAGGTTTTTGTAGAAGTATCATGTTGGACTACACATTCACAGCCACTTCTGGTTCTTAAAATAAACACCCTTTTTGCCCTGAGTGCCACTAAAAGAGTTGTTAAGTACTTCGAGTTCCTCTGCTAAACCTAGAAAGCAGAATGGAAAGAATAGGAAAAATATAGAAATTGACCAGAAAAAAATGAGAAAGTGTACAGATAGTGGAGTTTAGTGGTTGAGGACCATCAAGTATATGTGGCTTCAGCCAGTGATGCTTTGGTCTTTAGCTACTCTTAAAAACATAGGGCAAAAGTTGCTGGTATTAATTACCAAGTGGTCAAATGTTTTAACCTTTTTCTGCTTCATTTGCCCTACTTACAAAATAGAGTTAATGATCCCTGTTGTACCATCCCCACAGTATGGTAGTGAGACTAGGATGAGGTAATAGTTGTGAAAATGTTTCCACAGTGAAAGCACTGTATGATGAAAGGTGAGTGCTGTTTGCAACCATGAGTGTTTGTATTGAGAGAAAGTTATTTAAAATGTGATAGGATAGTTAAGCTTTTCTTATTTGTTTTTTAAATTTATATTTGTTTTTCTTTTATTATTTTGGGATGCTGGTACACTTTACCTTTAAAAGTATTATTGTTTTCATTCAATGGTGGAAGGAGATCATGGATGGAGAATGGGGAAAGAGGGTTCTCTCTTAACAGGTAATAAGCAGAATTTAAAAGAATGTAAATTCAGGTACAGACTCTTCAGAGGTGTTGTAGCAGTAATACTACATTTCTGTTTAATCCTCCAAAGTTCTAGGCACCTTCAAGACCCTCCCAGAGAAGTTCATTATTCTTCCTCGAGGGAGGCAGGAAGGTTTGACAATGAGCATGTGCAGTTGAATAAAAGGAAAAGGGCAAAAATATGTATAAGAAAAATCAGTTAACTGGAAGAAGATGGCTTAGAATGACTATTTTTTGTTTGTTTTTATTTTTGCAGTGTTGGGGATTAAACCCAGGGCCTTGTGCATGCTGGGCTTGTGCTCTACCACTGAGCTATGCCCCTAGCCCTGAGTGTTTTAATAAAACTGGTGTTATTACTTATGAAGTAGATACCTGAATAATGCAATGGATCCCATGAGACATTTAAAAGTGTTATCATTTCCTTAGAAGCACAGACACTAAACTGAATTAGGAAAGAAATCTTTTACTCTGTTTTTATGTTGTGTGCCTTTGCCTTCTGGAGAGTGATCTTTGAGTTACACATGCAGACATTTTTGTAACCTATATTTTCCCAAAATGACAAGTTTATTATTGGAAAATAAATCAGTTTTGCAGAAAATACAATGTAGATATCAGTTTGCATAATTTTCTAATAAAAGCCTTTTTAGTCATCTACTAATGAAGATAGTCTCTGGAAAATGCCACTTTGGGCATCTTCTGAACCTTTATTTATGTACTTAATGGTTGCCATTTGGGTTTCTGCATTGTATGATTTCTAAAAGGAAGCAGTAGAAGCTGAATTATCTGTGCCTTTCAGATTTTGTTTTCTCTCCATAAGCACCAGGGGAACATAGTTGTATTGGAAAGGAAGGTGTTCCCAAATTTGTATGTCTTGTTTTCAGATATACTGCTGTATATCAACTACACCTCCAGCCATCTCTGGATCCTGGCACATAATAGGAGCTAAAAAATTAGGACCCCATTTTTCCCACCTCAGCATTTTAATATTCTCTTCTGATCCAGCTTTCAAGATAAAATAGTATTATTGCGCTAATTTTGTGAGAAATTTTGGCATATTTCAGTAACTTTGAGGTCTCAGAAAATCTTTTAAACTTCCGGCCTATCTACATGTAGTAGAATAGAGTGGTAGAATTTGTCTTTGCCCTGATTCTGAAAGGTAATAGAGAAACACAGTACTTTTTAATTATTACAGGAACTTTAGGGGGTTTAAATTAAAAGCTTGGTTATGACTGTGTTGGAAAGACTATTTTTTAAAAAAAAGCCTACTATCACTTTATTATAGATGTTTTTTAGTTCTAGATGTTTTTTTTTTTTTTTAAACTGGTATCCTTTTCACAACTACACCGATAGATTTTGATTTTGCTACAGATGTTTATACACTTAGGAGTTCCCACCCTCTAAGAAAAACAGAAATGAAGATTGGATTTAGTATCAGAAACATCAAGGTAAAATCACTGGATTTTGTTTCTCTAAAAAACAGACCCAGAATCTATAAAAATAAAATGCAAGTTTAATTGGATTTTTTCCCCTTACAAATGTTACTTCTAGGTCTCTGGATTGGCTACTTTTTAGATTATCATTGTTACTTTGACTTCAGAATTAGAGCACAGTTTGTATCTGTCACATAGCTTAATGTGTATGTTTGAAAGCCAAGTAATTTATAATTTTATAGTCTAAATTATAGAGAATTCTATATTTGATATGTAAGAGAGTGTGAGAGAGAGAGAGAGAGTGTGTGTGTGTGTGTGTGTGTGTGTGTGTGTGTGTAGGGGCAGAAATCTAATTCTTTTGTAAGCATAGGTAACATTGAATAACTTGTAAAAATTAGATGCGAGTATTTAAATCTCTGAAAACTGGGATGGCTCACTAAAATGCTGCTTGCAGAGTTATTGCTGCTTGGTGTCTGCTAATTGAGTCTGGTGATGGTGGATGCTGCCTGTTCATTAGCAGCTGGGGGTCAAAAGCCTGAACATCTTTGTTTCTGCTGAAGAGTGAGTTCTGGGGCAGAACCAAGTTAGACTAAAGTGATAGGACTGCACTAATCCACACCCTTCTCGTGGTTAGTGCATGGTGCTGTTTTGGCTCCCATCCTAAATCAGGTTGTTCCCAAAAAGATAGTGGAAGTACAAAGCTTCCTATTGCACAGCTGTATTCAGACCAAGACCTATTAAAAGAGAGCAATATGCTGATGGCAGAGGGGGAAACTGTTCTGAGCAGCCCTTAAAAATGACAAGAAGCCCATTTTCTTTATTTTTACTGGCCTTATGGCCACAATTTTTTTAAAAGTATTGACTTGATCTCCAGAATCTTAATGCAGTTCAGTACTAAATTACTGCCACTACCACTCCCTTTTCCTGAACTGCTTTTAAAGACTCCAGATGCTTTCATCTATCAGTAAGGGACCTTCAGTAAGGGACCTTCAGTTTGGCTGCACATAGCCTTGAGCAAAGGAGCAAAGTTGATTTCTTCTCAAAGCTGTTCCTCAATGCTAGTCATTTCTTAGAAGCATGGATRTGAGTTGTTTGAATGGGGGCCCAGAATCCTTTAGGCAAATGCTGCAATTTTCAAACAAACAGAAAATCCCCTATAAAGAATTATAAGCACTGAACACAGTGACATAAGTCTATAATCCTGGCTTCTCAGGAGGCTAAGGCAAGAGAATTGCAAGCTCAAGGTTAGCTTCAGCAATTTAGCAAAGCCTTGTCTCAAAAACTAAAAAGGGCTGTAGATGTAGCTTAGTGGTAGAGCACCCATGGGTTCAGTTCCTAGTACATTAAAATAAAGAAAAGAGGGCTGGGCTTGTGGCTCAGTGGTAGAGCGTTCACCTAGCATGCATCAAGCACTGAGTTCGATCCTCAGCACAACATAAAAATAAAAAATAAAGTTATTGTGTCCACCTACCAAAAAAAAAATATATATATATATATATATATATATATATTTTTTTTTTTTTTTNAAAAAAAAAATATATATATATATATATATATATATATTTTTTTTTTTTTTTTTTAAGAAAAGAATTGTAAACTAAGTGGCAAGTTGAAATCCTGATTGTTCCATTACATGGGAACACATTATCCCTAAGGTCTTCCTAATTCTTATTGAGAGACCTTGGTCAGAGTTTTCTGCAGTAGACTCATGGATTAGCCCTTGAGGATAAAAGTGAGGATGAGGTTAAAATGTCTTATTTCTCAGAAATACAGGGGATGAAGCAGATGATGAGCCAGATATGTAATTTGGCATCCAACATAGCCTTCCCCTGCAGAAACTGCTGAAGGAAACAAGGTGGAAAGAAGACTGCTGTTGGGTTTTGTTGGTGGTGATTGAACCCAGGGCCTTATGCATGCTAATGAGCACATGCTCTTCCCACTGTGAAACAACCTGACCTATTGCTGGGGTGGTCCCCTCCCCACTCCTCCAGCCATAACTGGGGATTGAAACCAGGGGTACAATACCCCTGACCTATATCCCTAGCCCTTTTTATTTTTTGAGACAGGTTCTTGCTAAATTACTGCAGCAAGTCACTGGGATTACAGCATGTACCACCATGCCTGGCTGTTGCTGTGGCTTCTAAGCTGCAGTAAGTGCTCAGGCCTTAAATGGCCTTCAGTAAATCAGGAAGAAAGAACGAAGATGCCTTCCAGATCTAGCATAACTGAGGTTTTGTTGGATGTATCATTGAAAAGTATTCAGGTTTTGAATCATTATAGTTGATAATAGTCTTTAAGAATTAGAAATTTTTTTACTTTTGTGTTTGGGGGAAAAGGAAAGTTGCAGAGACAGAAGTAGGTAGGAATTTGCTACTGGGGTAAGTAAGTAGAAAGGACTAACTGGTCTCTGAGGACTAACGTTTTCTGGCTGTCATCTGTATTGAAACTTCAGCTATTTTTTTTAGAGGGCATTGCTGAAATAGGGTCACAAGAGTGTGTGTATGTATGTGTCCTATGTTTACTTTCCTTTGGGGGAGGATAAAGAGTGTCAATGAGTTATAATCTTCTTAATCTATTTCTTCAAGGCAAAAGGATGCACGTGCAGTTGTCTACCAGCCGGCTTCGAACTGCCCCCGGGATGGGAGACCAGAGTGGCTGCTATCGGTGTGGGAAAGAGGGACACTGGTCCAAAGAGTGCCCAGTAGATCGTACTGGGCGGGTGGCAGACTTTACTGAGCAATACAATGAACAGTATGGAGCAGTGCGCACACCCTATACCATGGGCTATGGGGAATCCATGTATTACAATGACGCCTATGGAGCACTCGACTACTATAAGCGCTACCGGGTCCGCTCTTATGAAGCGGTGGCGGCGGCGGCTGCTGCTTCTGCATACAACTATGCAGAGCAGACCATGTCTCATCTGCCTCAAGTCCAGAGCTCAGCTGTGACCAGTCACCTCAACTCTACTTCTGTTGATCCCTATGACAGACACCTATTGCCGAACTCTGGTGCTGCTGCTACCTCAGCTGCTATGGCTGCTGCTGCCGCCACCTCTTCCTCCTATTATGGAAGGGACAGAAGCCCACTGCGTCGTGCTACAGCTTTGCTCCCCACAGTTGGAGAGGGCTACGGTTATGGGCCAGAAAGTGAGTTGTCTCAGGCTTCAGCAGCTACACGGAATTCTCTGTATGACATGGCCCGGTATGAGCGGGAGCAATATGTGGACCGAGCACGGTACTCAGCCTTTTAAAAACTGGAGGTGAGAGTGGGGTGGGTGTGATTAAGAGATTCCATTTAGTTCCCTTGCAAGAGACCTTCATAGAGGAGGCTAGAGGTACTTGTTTGCTATTAGAACAGAATCCAAAAAGTACTAATTATGTGTTATTCTTTATTGTTTCTCTAGCTTATTCCACAGGTTCACTTGGCCTGTTGAGGTTTTAGCGTGTGACTTCACATACTACAGGAACAGTTTGTTAGGAATAATATTCCTATAATCAGTTGTAAATCCACTTGAGTTGCAGAAAAACATTTAAGATAACTAATGTTTGGTGACCTGTGTGTATTAATATCTAGACAGTAAGAGATATTTCTTTTTACAGGAAGGGAACTAAGGCTCCAGAGATTCAGTAGTTTGCCCATCATCATTTGGTAAATGAGGGAGGTGAAGCCAAAATTCAAATTCAAGCCTGACTCTTAAAATTCCCACTAACAGTGTGGTATTAAGCTGAAGGGTACAGGTTCAGGACTTAGCAATGGAAATCACAGAGTATTTGCTAATAAGATTGTTTATTGGGTCACTAGCCTTTATCATGGAAGCTCTTCAAGTATGATATCTGCAAGCCAGATAAAGTCCTATAAATGTTAAGTGTCTAATTCTAAGATACTTGTTTGCTGAATGTTTGATGCTCTGCCCCATGTAGTTCTTTCCTTATTCACATCTAGAGCATTGGAGTGCTTAACCCCTATTTTCTTGTAACCTATGATACGTTTCCCATTTCTTTCAGCATTTTGGGTTTTTTGTGTGGGAACACTACTTAAGGAATTAGAAATTGGCAATCTTCTGATGTACATAAAATCCTATAGGTTGTGACTCTGAAAAGTTAATGTTTCCTGCTTCTGAGATTGTGTATCAAAGTTGCTAAGTTACTGCAAGTCACTGGGGTAGGAAATATTGAGTATTGAGTTAATCAGAGTGGAAATAGCATCATGACATTATATTTTCATGGTTTTACTTATACTTTGAAATTGGGCATCACTTGAATTTGAGCCCCAGTAGCAAGGTTAAACCGAATTACTACTGAGCTTCCAAGATTTCAAGTTATCCCCTCTTTGGTATAGGTGTAGAAGAAAAGAAAAGCTACAGAATTTGCTTTTTGTGAAGTGAGAAGCACTGTGTCATGAACCTGTGATTTTATATCTTATATGACCATGTCAGTAAGACTTGGGATTTCCTGAGACCACTGTGCAGCAGTGTGTTCATGTGTGTGAAGTAGATTAAGCTTAGAAGCTATGGAGTTTGCCATTAATTTTTACAGCTGGATCTACCATGAGTTGAGATGCCTCTGAAGTGAAGTAAGTTGTTATCAATCTGTCAGATAACTTCTGTTTCTTTTAAGTATGTTTCAAAGTTAATTTTTAAATTAATATATTGTGGTCTTTAAAGGGTATTGATACATCATTTTAAAAGTGAATTTTAACTGAGAACAGTGGTTGTTCAACTAACCTCTTTGTAGTGATGACTTTTAAAGAAACTTACCTTCCAGGTGTGAACCTCAAATGGACTGAATAACCCTGAGTTGGTTGCAGTCCCAGGAGCCTGATGTTAATGAGGCTGCCAGGAGGAAATACTACAGAACTGTTGGGGATCCAAATTCGGGTCTCACTAGCAGAACTGATCCAAGAACGTCACAGCTTTTGAAGTCGATTGGCACAGATCAAGACCAAGATTTGGCCCTTTGTCTGTAATAAGTAGAGGAACTTGGTGTGAGTTAACTTCTTTTTTCCCCCAGCCATTGGTGTCTGGAGTTTCCATCATCAATGGAAGAATTAGAGAATTCTAGCAGTGATTTCTTCTTTCCATTTGGCAAGGGAGATTTGGTCAATTAGAGAAAACACTGGAACTGTGGTTCTAAATCTGTGACAGTGTGACATGTAGTTGTGTTAGAGATTGGTGAATGACCCACTGTTCCTTGAGAACTGTACCTTTTACAAATGTCATTTCTAAAAGTTTGTTTACTATGAAAAATTTAAAATGGGTGTGGTTATTTGCGCCTATAGTCCCAGCTACTCAGAAGGAACACTTATAAGCCCAGGAAAATTCAACCAGAGCAACATAGTGAAATTCCATATCACTTTTTTTAAAGGGGAAAGTAGAACAATTGGCCATATTTGAGATCTCAGTATCTTCTGCTTTTCCCAGATCCAAAAATTAAACTGCTATTTTTGTTGGTATATGTTTGCCCTTTGTTGAAGCAATAGTAGCCTTCTGTTAAAGAGGTTATTTTGCCAGGCGCCGTGGCACACACCTGTAATTCCAGCGGCTTGGGAGGCTGAGGCAGGAGGATCACAAGTTCAAAACCAGCCTCAGCAACTTGGCAAGGCTGTAAGCAACTTAGTGAGACCCTGACTCTAAATAAAATATAAAAAGGGGCTGAGGATGTTGCTCAGTAGTTAAGCTCCCCTGGGTTTAATCCCTGGAATCAAAAAAATAGTTATATTGTTTAAAAGATGGCTAAGAAAATGAGAAAGTTGAATTTACCATTAACACAGCAGACTTTCACCTAGATTACATCTGTATGTCCTATATAGCTATTAGTATATTCTTTTATAGACCTATTTAATAGAACCCTAGATGATTTTGTGGAATATAAATTTGATCCAATCTGACTTGGTTTTGTTTTGTTCTTTGTCCCCCCCCCCCCCTTGGAATACAGGACGGGACCAGGGCCCTTGTACTCGGAGCCAAGCTGCTCTCCAGGCATTGTGTAAGCCTCTTGTGTTGTGCTCTCTTTCAGGTAGGATAATTGCGGACTGAACCCTCGGGCTGCGGTCATATATGAGAACTTGCTCCGCGCGGTCCCCTTTGCCGGGATGTTTCCATTGCTTCATGTTTCAGTAAACAGAGGAGTTTGAGACCAACTATGTTTTCTTTCTTAATTTAATTCTTCTAAGTTTACTTTTCTTTCCTCCTGATACTAGTCTTAGTAGCCTTTCACTTTGTTCCTTATATTCTCAGCCTCAGATCATCCCTAGGTAAGGATTATGCTGGCATTCCCTTTTTCCTGTACAGTGGAACCCCTCTTATCTTGCTTTCCCTAGGATTTGAACCCTTCCTCCCTGCCTACCTACAGCATCTCCCTTTAAAATGACCATGTAGTGGCAAACAGCCTTTTACTCTTCTCTGTTAGCTCTGGACTCTTAACATTGAAGCTAATCTTCTGAAATTGCTAGGACCATTGGGGGTTTTGTTGTTGTTTTTGTTTGGTGTTTTTTTTTTTTTTTTTTTGGTCTGACCTGTGATCGTGGTACAGCATTAGCTGAAATTTAGCCTTGTTTTAACTCCACTCCTCCCACTTTTATTTTTATTTTTTTGACAAATAAATATTTCTAACACTGAAGTATCTTTTTGTTTGTATGATTGTTTTTACCACCAGAATCTTCTCATTCTTGTCCAGTGTGCTCAAACTACAAAATTCTAATCAATGAATGTCTCACATGTAGAAGAAAGGAATTAGTGAGTAATATGGCTTCAGAAATAGGTGATAGTGAGAAATAATGCCAGAATATTGAGACACTGATGAATGTGTAAGCTGGTGGTCAGGCTTTTCTCTAAATAACCAGAATTGCTCTTGATAGTTTAAAGGCTACAACTTAGATTAGTAGTGATAGAAACCCCACAGGAAACTTTTGAGTCAGGAAAAGGCTCAGCCAGAATATCTACAGGAACCTATCAGGTGACTCAATTTGACTTCATAGTTTGCTGGGCTGGTATAATGAACATATATTTGAGAGGCTGAGGCAGGAAAATCAGAAGTTCAAGGCCAGCCTTAGCAATTTAGCAAAGCCTAAGAAATGTCATGAGATCCTGTCTCAAAAAAATAAAAAGGGATTGGGATGTAGCTTGGTAACAGAGTACCCTTGGGTTCAATTCCCAGTACCACACCAAGAAAAAGGGTGGGAGTAGGCCAGTTGCAGTGGTACACACCGGTAAACCCAGCTATTTAGGAGGCTGAGGGTGGGGGATTACAAGTTTGCAACCTGGGAAACTTAGCAAGATCTCATTTTAAAATAAAAGGACAAGGGATGTGGCTTAGTGTTAGAGCACTTTTGTCTTGCATGCAAGAGGAGGCCCTGGGTTCAATCCCCTGCAGTAACAAAATTTTTAAAGTGTCATAATACTTAGAACAGAAAAGCAAATAGTCGTCTACGGCCATACCAAAAACAAAAAGAAAAAGAGAGAAAAACCAAATAGTGTTTTAATATACGGTGATAATATTGTATAGTAAAGCGTGTCTATATTTGAGGCTTTTTTTCTTTTCTTTTTGTTGTTGTTTTTCTGGACTTGGGATTGAACCCAGGGGTGCTTTACCACTGAGCTACATCCCCAGCCCTTTTTACTTTAATTTTGCTAAATTGCTGAGGCTGGCAAAGAACTTGGAATTTTGCTTTAGCCTCCCAAATAGCCAGGATTTCAGGTATATGCCACCATGGACAGCCTGGTTTTTTGTTTTCTTAAAAAAAAAAAAAAAAAAAATCATTGTTCTGTCTCCATAAAATGAATTTTAATGATGGATTCAACCATGCTTAAGCTTTATTGTGACATATTACTTCTGGCTACATGTGAAATTTTACCTACAATTGTAGCATTTCCACATCCTACCTTGGGGATCAAACCAGGGCCTAGAGCATGCTAAGGACACCCTTCACCCCTGAGCTACACCCTTCAGTCCTCCCATTTTATGTTTAAAATARTCCTGACAGGGTTCAGTGAAACAGAAGTTTTCCCTGATTTGGGAGACAAGGGCCTAAGGATGTGGTGATATAAAGATCCATGCCCACATTTCCAACTAGTGTATTTCACACAGGGCCCAGGTTAGCTTCGATGGGGACACAAGACTGACAGGACTGTCCATGTAACAAAAGAAAAGAAGTCAAAGATATGCTGGGATTTTCTCATGATTGATGTGCATGATACCAGGCATAGCCAACCACCACAATCTGAGGTTAGGTTTTGACCAACATGTTTGCCAGATGTGGTGGGTGCATATTTGTAATCCAGTAACTCAGGGCTAAGGCAACAGGATCACAGGTTTCAGGCCAGCCTCAGCAACTTAGATTCTATTTGAACATTTTTTTTTTTAAAAGGGCTGGGGATGTATCTCTGTGGTAAAGCACTCCTGGGTTCAGTCTCCAGTACTGAAAGGAAAAGAGAAGGAAGGTGGGGGAGGGAGGGAAGGAAGGAAGGAAGAGGGGAGAGAGAAAGAAAGAATAGCCCTGTATCCCTCAAAGGATTAAGTTTTCAGCCAGTTAAAGAACTCCTGAGGGGCTGGGGTTGTAGCTCAGTGGTAGAGCACTGGCCTCACAAGCGTGAGGTTTAATCCTCAACACCACATGAAAATAAAGATATTTTTAAAAATTTACTGAGGTAGGGACAAATGTATTTATGTCTAAACCACAGTTCTTACATGAGAAATTGCATGTTGTAGAAATCCTTTTATTCACCAAGACCAAGTTTCTTGTTGTAGACTACACTTCAAAGTTCCATGACTTCTCACACTAAAAGCTCCTAAATTCCTTTATCAACTGTATGAACTCCTACTGTAGGCCAGAATCTGGGGATATAGTGTTAAATGGAACTGAACATTCCTAATAGGAGAAGCAAACCTTAATTACTTTTTTGGTAAGTACTATGGAGTGAAAACTATTACAGTGATATAGCAAGCCTAAGCAACTTAGCAGGACCCTAAGTTTTTCAAAAAGGTTGAGATGTAGCTAAGTGGAGAGCTTGCCAAGCATTCACAAGGCCCTGGGTTCCAGATCCCCAGTACACCAAAAAAACAAATCACAAGGACTGACGTGGGAGTGTGGTTACAACAAAGTGGAGAAGGCAGCACATGTGAAGGCTCCTAAGTAAGATGCCATTAGGATCCAGAAAGGCAGTTCTGTGGCAGGGAAAAACTGTAATCAAGAAATCTGAAGCTGGGGGTGTGGCTCAAGCAGTAGCGGGCTCGCCTGGCGTTCGTGCGGCCAGGGTTCAATCCTCAGCACCACATGCCAACAAAGATATTGTGCCCGCCGAGAACTAAAAAATAAATATTAAAAATTCTCTCTCTCTAAAAAAAAAAAAAGAAATCTGAAGAGGTAAGTTTAAGCTCTGTTAAGAAATTTCATTTTTAAGCTTAGAATAACTGGAAGCTTCAGGTTTTAAGCTTAGGAATAACAGGCTGATTCTTAAAAGATTATGCTGGGGGTGCTGGGATTGTGGCTCAGCGGTAGAGTGCTCACATAGTACAACCCCCTAGGTTCGATTCTCAGCACTACACAAAATAAATAAAATAAAGCTATTGTGTCCAACTACAACTAAAATATATATATATATATAATATATATATATATATATATTTTAAATCATGCCAGACAATGACACACACCTGTAACCTCAACTGAAGCTGAGGAAAGAGGATTACAAATCTGAAGGTAGCCTGGGCAACTTAAAGAGAACTTAATGAGGGCTGGGGATGTGGCTCAAGCGRTAGCGCGCTTGCCCGGGTTCCATCCTCAGCACCACATACAAAGATGTGTCTGCTGAAAACTAAAAAATAAATATTAAAATTCTCTCTTTTAAAAAAAAGTCTTTGTATTTAAGAATAAATAAATAAAAAGAACTTAATGAGAAAATATAAAAAGGGCTAGGAGTGCAGATCAGTGTGGAAATCCCTGTGTTCAATCTCCAGTACAACATGCCCCCCACCAAAAAAAAAAATCACTGATTGGAAAGGAACAAAAGTGAACAGCATTTGTCTAATGTGTGAGAGGTCTTCTCCCTGAATCAGGAAGTCAGCAGAATTGATTCTTATTTTTCTGGTACTAGGAATTGAACTCTGGGGTGCTCTGCCACTAAGCTACATTCCAACGATTTGCTAACTTGCTATCTTCTTGCCTCAGCCCCCCACATCGCTGGGATCACAGGTGTGTGCCACCACACCTGATTTAAAGTTTTATTTTAAAGGAAGAAAAGATACCTTTGTAGACAGGAAATGGACCATTCATGAGGATGTGAGATTCTGGGTACAACCCTGAGGTTGATCAAGTCATAAATAAGAAGACAGGCTGTTTCTCCAACATTAATATTTGCTTAGTACCTGGTATAGGTCAGGGTTTGCTGGAAGGATTTGCAAAAAGCACCGTTGAGTGCTAAGGGGCAGAGGAGATGAGATGGGATCACTCAGAGATCTTCATAGACTACTGAGATTATGAGTATAGTGGTTAGAAACAGGTCTGAGGTCAGAGTTCTGGGATAAGAATCTTATCACTATCACTTAAACTCAAATGAGACCTGACACAGATAATTGTAACAAACAGGATAAAATGGTAATTGTGATGAGAAATCTAAAACAGCTGTTAAGAGTTGTGCCTTAAGATTGACTTTTGCCTATAATACCACCAAGTCAGGAGGCTGAGGCAGGAGGATCAGGAGTTCAAAGGCAGCCTAAGCAATTGTGGGAGGCCCCAAGCAACTCAGTGAGACCTTCTTTCTAAATAAAATATTAAAAATGTGGCTTACAAAAGATGTGGCATAGGGCTGGGGATGTGGCTCAAGCGGTAGCGCGCTCGCCTGGCATGCGTGCGGCCCTGGTTCGATCCTCAGCACCATATACAAACAACGATGTTGTGTCCGCCAAAAAATGAAAAATAAATATTAAAATTCCTTCTCTCCTCTCTCTAAAAAAAATGTGTTCCTTCCTCTCTTTCAAAAAAAAAAAAGATGTGGCATAGTAGTTAAGCACCCCTAGGTTCAATCCCTAGTCCTAGTAACGTGCCCCCCACCTCCAAAAAAAAGACTTCTTTGAAAATGTGTGTCTTGGAATAGAACTTATCTGTCCTACATAGACAGTGAATGTTTCTAAGGGATGGATGAAGGCTAAAGAGATGTCCCTGGCCCAGGATAGGGTTTATTTTCCCTTGGACTTCAAGTGCTTCTTAGAATATGACCACTGTGCCTGGCCCTTGCTTGGGTGGATGCCCAGAACCCTGCCCTAAGTGGCTGACTACTCAGGAAGAAATTCATGAAGGCTTGGGTTACTGTTCTTCAAAACTGGGTCAGGGACATCCCCTTGGCTTTCATGATCCCTCACAAACATTCACTGCGTATGTAGGACAGATTAGTTCTATTCCAAGACATTTTGGAAAAAGTCCCAGGGGTTTTTTGTTGGTTTTTTTTTTTTTGGAGGGCCGTGGGGAGGGGGGAGCATATTACCAGGGATTGAACCTAGGGGTGTTTAACCACTATTAACCTGCAGTCCTAAGAGAACCTACCTGTCCACATAGAGGGGAGGTTTCCCAGCTCTTCATATGCTAAGGCCAACAAGGCTACCAGTGTGGTGGCCCTGGATGG